TGTCGCTGTCTCTGTTGTTACTGCTACTGACGCTAGCAATATCGACAGGTGATAAGCGCTTAGACCAACAACCACTTAGCAACAGAAGGACAAAGACTGAGCATTTAATCACAATCGCTCGGGCAGCACTCAATTAAACCCATTCAACATCAAAGCAGCACAGTCGAGCTTCCACATAAGAGGGAACAAAAGTGGTTGTTGGAATTATTATTGCTCTTTTACAATTAACCTACCAGTGGTTTATTAAGCTGCGACTTGTTTCCCTGTAAGGCCCATCTCTTATCAATTGCGTAATGAAAGGGATAATAGGATAAGAAAGAGAGATGGGTGAGTCTTACGCAGGATCGCCCTCACATTTTTTTTTTGTGTATGTGTGTGTGTTTTCGAACCCGTCTTCATAAAGTTGATCAGTTATTACTTCAAGAGATTACAACGTTTGTGTCTTTTACTTAGGCTATTCGAATGAAACGACACAGGTATCTCGACGTAAGGTAATGTATAGCGAGGCTAATGTGGTTGACCATCAGTAGTGAGTTCGTAAAATCAATCTAACGTAACCTAACATACTGACTAGTGAGTTCGATCCTCAGTGGGTGATACACAAAAAAATGATATTAAATAACGCGACAAAGGTTTCTATGTCATAAAATCTAACGTAACTTATTATACTGACTAGTGAGTTCGATCGTCACTGGGTGACCCATACATAGAAATTGATATTAAATAACCCAACAGTAGTTTGCATGTTATAAAGACAACCTAACATAACCTAACCTTGAAATAAACACCAGCATTTTGGCAATGTTTCAGTCGTTCTACGCTCCGGCCTTCTTCCGGTGGTTGGAATGTCGAACTGAACCCTTTATTTCGCTCACTGGGGTAGACTGTTCTCGTTCCACGTGCCATGTTTAATGGATGTCAGTTATCAGTTATCTCCTGTTAATTCCCCTCGGAAAGTTCTCCTGTCACTGAATCTAACTAATGCCTTTATCCACTGTGCCATGTGTCCTTGAGGAAAACTTGGACAGATAATGATCTGCGACGTTGAAAATACGAAAATTGAACCCATTAATTCCCATCATAAAATCTGGCATAAATTATAAAAACCTGGTAGTAATTATAACATTAAAAATAGTTCTAGTATTAATTATAGGTTTATAAAAAAAATAGCATTAATTATAGTTTTATAAAACTCTGACGTCAATTATTGGTTTCTACCTATGGTTCATTAATACCTACCGTTCCAAAAAATTAGCGGATTAATACATCAATTTTTTTTTCTAATGAAATCGTAGGGTCTTATATGTATAATAAACCTATTCCTTTTGTAAAGTTTGCATTAATTTCCAACCCTAACAATCAGTCAGTTGTGTACCATGCGTGATACACGCTTAGGCTATCGTGTATCTTTCGATACATGACTAACAAGGCAGATTTTTTTCCCGCAGTATTTCACATTTCTTTCTGCGGTAGACCAGTTACCATCCAAGGCTATAAAACCCGGTCTGTCCTGCTATTTACCCATAGCTGGGGGTGGGGAGAAGAAGAGGATTCATACATATTCATGGTAAGCACGTAAGTGAATGTAATGGATTCGACTGGAATTCGAACTCGGCTCTCCGATTCCTCAATCCGAACCGCTATCTATTACTAACCCTAACAATACATTTCTGGTATTCTACCGGAATAGAGTTGGCCTCAAGTTGACAGCAAACATTAAAGAAACCGGGTGCGCCGGTGGTTTGACATGGAATCAGTCTCAGCCATCAAAGACAGAAATGCGCGAGTTCACACATATATTCATTATTGCAAGCGTGAGAAAGAGAAGGTTGGATAGATGGAAAGCTTGATAGATGGATATATTAATAACCGGTCGAGGACGGGGTCGGGATCAGGGTCGGGGTCGGGGTCGGAATAGTCTCTCGTACCTCACAGACGGAGAAAGTAAGGTACACGTGTTGGACAAGAGGTGTATTATGATTACATTCTGTTAATAACACTTGCATTAATTCCAAATAACTAAAAATTCATTTTTCTTATTTTCAATGCACAACAGTCTGGGCACCGGATTTTGCAAAAATAAATTTTGAAAACGAGAATTAGGAAATTCAGGGTTTACTCCCCTACACGCAAGATGCTAGTGGCCCGCTGGCGGGCCGCCAATGGCAACGCCAGCGGTCCTCTGGTGGTAGCCACTGTCGAGCCATGGGTGGGCCTCCAGGGATCCGCGAGTGGTAACATTGCCGAGACCAACGCGCCGGCGGCCCGATAGCAGGCTACCTGCAGTAAACGCTAGTGGCATACCACCCATTGGCAGATAGGTGGCTTGCGGGTAGGGTGATCAATCTTTTTTGCTCTCACCATAAAGATTTAGTTTGTTAGTGCAGAAATAAACTAAAATTTATTGCAGGTGGAGTAGCGGTAAAGCAAATGGGCACTGATAAGAAAAAAAAGGAAACCTGGCCTACATATACTGCGCATAAACGCAATGGATGCTAATGGAAAAATATATTTTTTTCTTTCCCTACCACCCAAAATGGTTCTCTCACTAAATGAAAAGAAATTTTAAAGCACGTGTTTAATAAAATCTTTCTCTGATGTCACGAGCTACATAAAGATCTAATTTAAAAAAACAAACGCTGGGGATCCGTTCCCCAGATTATACACCCCCGCTGTTCTAAAAGAAGAAAATAAGGTTCTCTACCTCTACCAAAGAATTTGTATTCATCCATTTTTATACTATTATTCACCCAATAAAAGCCATAAGAGCCACTCAAGGTAGAGGTTTAATGAATATAGTTGTTACAGGGGCGTACAAGGAGAGAGGAAAAAGTGCATATTATGAGGATATGTGGGATATTAGCTGTTTAATGCAAAAGAAATCTCATGTAATTCCATTGATATTTCGAGTAATGATGGGCCTTGAGTCATGGAAAAGTTGATTAAATTATGAAACGAATACATTGAGAGATATTACATATATTAAACAGGATTAAAGACACTAGTCCGAAATCTACAGAGTTAAATCAGCTGGAACGTGTCTATCTGTAAATAGGTTTTCACTCAGTTTTTAATGACGACGACATTAGCAGAAGGACGCGTTCTCAGAGTGGTGTCTTTGATATTAATATACGTGCTTTACTGGAAAGCTAACTCTATATACAAGACATATTGGTGATTTCTACAAGGTTTACGTGAATACGACACAGAGCTGAAACATCATCACATATCTCAGCAAACGATATGACACGTTACAGCAAAAGATATGAGACGTTACAGCAAAAAAATACCGAGGATTTAATCACCTTACGACGTGTAGAAACAGCTGAGACTCGCTGTACCTTGGTGCTTCTATCAATTATTGCATGCACAAGCTTCTATCTTAACGCCCCCCCCCAATAAATAAATACAGCCTCTAGCCAATTTGGACCCAAAACTGGCACTGAAGAATTATCCATCAAACAAAAAATTAATCGAAATCTGATGAAAACTGTGGAAACGCATAAACAACATCCAATCACACACACGCGCGCGCACACACACACATACATAAACAAACACATTTTGAGAATTATAGATATAGATACTGCTCATAAAGGGTAACGGCATAAATCTGTGCAACCTTTAGTTCAATAATTGCTACACAGTTAAAAAAAATTCTTTGATCTTTAGAGTATCTCTTCGTAAACCGAATATAGGGAGAGTGATCTATCGGGGTAGAACAAAGAGAGAAGGAACTAGAGTGCTAATGTAAGTATGGGAGAAAGAATGAGAGAAAGGAGTAAAGAATGATAATGTGACTATGGAAGAAAGAAAGAGAGAAAGAAGTAAAGAGTGGTAATGTAAGAAAGAAAGAAAGAAAGAAAGAAAGAAAGAAAGAAAGAAAGAAAGAAAGAAAGAAAGAAAGAAAGAGTGATAATGTAAGTATGAAGAAAGAAAGAAAGAAAGAAAGAAAGAAAGAAAGAAAGAAAGAAAGAAAGAAAGAAAAGTACGATTTACTGCTTGAGTTTCGGATTATGTATTCTTATCATTTTCTTTACTAATTACTCTGTTTCTATATTTCTGTTCTTTCCTAATGTCTTTGTTTGATGGATTTAATGTTGTTATATAATCAAAATCACATTCCCTTTATTTTTTTTCTCGAGGGAGCCCATTATTTTTTAATTTCTAAATTCTACGATTTAAAATGTCTGTTTTTTTTTGTTTTTTTTTGTTAGTGCATCCACATACGTCTTGCTTTATTACCTGTCTATCTACTCCTGCCTCCCTATCTCCTTCATTTTCTCTTTCGTTCATGCTTTTCTCTTCGTTTTATTCTCATCTCTCGCTCTCTTTTCTCCTTTCACTTTCTGTATTTCTCTTTATATTCAAATCATATTTCTTGCGTCCATTTTCCTACTTGTCTGTCTCTCTTCTAACATTTTTTTTGTTGTAAAAGCTTACTCACCCAACAACTGTTCTAAATCCTTACGAACGATTAATTCTTTTCAAATAAATCAAAATTCCCACAAAATTCCCTTTAAGCTTTCAGTATTACAATAACTTGTTTCCTAAAAGAAATAAAATAATAGAATAAAATAAAGCCAACAGTTGGTAATCAAAACGTGAAAAAAATTAATAATTTATAAAATCTTTTAATGACTTTTGGATGTTGCAAGGTGAGTCACGTATTTTTATGGTAGATTTGTTTATTCTTAACCAGCCAGGAAAGCTGATGTTTTGGGAACCAATAAGAGAAAGCTGTTGAGGGAAAGACATTGAACCAAGGAAAATGACTGGATCGGGAAAGAGACGTGAATTTAAAAAGTTAAACACATTAAAAACAATAGCTTGCGGGGTTGCGTCAAGTGTCTGTCATCCTCAAATAAATGCAAAAATATACATATGTATGAATTTTTGTTGACGCTGTCTGGCTTTTATTCATATGTGTCCACATACAAATGCATAAATAAGTCAGTTATGTGCCATGCGTGGTACACGCATAGGCAATCGTGTATCTTTCGATACATGACTGACGAAGCAGATTTTTTTCCCGCAGTAGGTTGCCATTTCTTTCTGCTGTAAGCCAGTTGCCATCCAAGGCTATAGAACCCGGTCTGTCCTGCTATTTACCCATAGCTGTGGGGAGAAGAAGAGGATTCATACCTTTCTCAAGGGTATTAGCACGTAAATGAATGTAATGGATTCGACTGGAATTCGAATTCTCCAATTCCTCAATCCGAGCCGCTATCGATGACTCTACCGTGCCTCCTTCATGATACTAAAATAGGACAAAATGTATGTATGGATAGATTTGCTCTTACGGCTTATCAACCTTTTGCAGGTTATTTAAAGCCAGAAAATATTTTTATATTGTAAGATTATTTTTTTCAGTTAATAATGATTGACTGATACAAGGCCTACTAATTAACTCTTACCTGGAATAAGAAAAGATGGATTCGTACGTTTCCCAAGGGAATTTGCGGGTAAGTGAATATAACAACCCAAGTGAAATTGGAACTCGGCTCTCCGATTAACAATTCCGAGCCATTATCCATTACACAACCCACACATTGAAGCTTACAGCACCTGGTATCCCGAAGGGGGCAGTCACCCATCTAGGTTTTGACCTCGTTGATCGTACGAGAACTAATGTTTCAAAGTAATATGCCTGTAAGCCTACTAAACGTCTCCAATATATATATATATATATATATATATATATATATATAGAGAGAGAGAGAGAGAGAGGAGAGAGGTGGATTTTTTATTTATTAATCCGAAAATATAAATAATATATTTTTATTAAAATTTAAATTATGTAACGGTCAGTCTGTGCTCAGCACCTGAACATTGCGTTGTGCAGGAAACTTCGAGTAAAAAATGTATATTTATTAATATATACTTAATGGTTCTGTTATATTAAATCGAGCACTATTTTATTAACACCGTCACTCAATGTGCGATATCTTTTTTATATATATATATATATATATATATATATATATATATATATATATATATATATATATAATAAACATTTCATTTTGTCATATTTTCTCTTTGAAAGATTTATACATACACCTATATGTACAGATACAAAAAAAGTAAACCTGCTCAAATTTACTCTTTTACGCATGCGCTCGCATACACAGAAGCGTGTCATATTCAAGCGACATCTTGATAATGAATTCGTTTTTCATTGGCAGTTCCCAGTTTTGTACATTTCATGAATAACTACAAGGCCATAGTCTTTTCTGTAAGTAGACGAGATTGCTTAAGGACCAAGAATCCACCTTTTTTATTCAAGTCACGAAGTATCGCTTGTTTGGGCCGAGGACGAACTGATTTTATCTTCCTGCTCATGTCTCCTTCAAATTCATTTACAAGCGAATAGCCGATAAGTGGAAGCTGTTCTCATGCAGACGAGATGAAGGAAACGATGAAGACGAGAATACAATGAGAACACGTTAACGACGCTCGTGCGATTCAAATCCAATTTGTTGAGTTAGCTTTTATTCTGTACAAGATCGGAAGAATAAATAAGGAATCTATTATTTGAGATTTTATAAGAACAAAAACAAGAGAAAACTTTGGAACGAAAGCCATTAGAATACCACAATCCTAGAAGAGTCAAACGGAACAGACTGAATCTCTTCTATCCGAGAGTGTGTCGTTTACAGTCCATTTTAGAATTTAATTAGGAAAACTTCCAAAGAAGGAATTTGGATCCCCTATGAGTTTTCACTTGGGAAGCGAACACAACTATCCACTATCTACAGCAGTCTTTTAACCAGGAATGTCAACCTTCCGTTATTCTTTCTTTTTTTTTGTTACAGTAAGGTTCACCCTGTACAGGGCCCAAGGGTCACTCGAGTTAGAGGATTACTAAGGAGTAGTTTTATATATATATATATATATATATATATATATATATATATATATATGACATAACTTGCACTTGTAGAAAAATAGAAAATTGCTTCTTACATAGACAATGTTTGATTGGCAATATTGTATAAAGAGCTGAAGTTGAGGCAGAATGCCTCCCTACAATGAATAATATTAGTTCGACCGAGGGCACGTTGAAAAAGAGATACACCAACCAACGAACAACCAACCAACATCTTTAGGATTGAGTATTTATTGTAAAAGATAAGATGAATCATAGAAAGGAAAAGGTCAGAGCGATACCGGAGGCGATAGATTTTGCAAATTGTACCAGGAGGAATTGTTGGCGATCTGGATGTTTCCGAATCTAGCCACGCAATTAAATAAGAGAGCGGAAATAATGACGGTATGATTGCATGCAAAAAATATTTAATAGCTAATATGGAACCTGGGTGACACTCACATGCGAGCCAACAAAAAACTACGAGTTCTCCATATTTAAGGCGTAAACTGCGAGCGACCCACGATAAATATTGTACCTGGCCTTATGATCCTTCATCTTTTACGGTGAAACTTGAGTTTCTAAAGTTTCATTTGTTATTTTTCATTTATCTTATGTTTTATAAACTCTACATTGTGTTGAGCACTTTTAATTACCAATTTTATCAGAGTTGGAGTTTGCCAACTACGATAAACAAATTACAGTTTATAAAAATTGTCATATCAAAACAACATAATCTGTTATGATTAACACAATTCAAAGTGCTCGCTCTTATGTTCTGAACTTTACCAGCAACATTTCTACATACCATTTGTTACAATTCTACATTATGTACAGAAGAATTATAAAAAATTCAGGGATATTTTTCAGTTTGAGCCATAAACATTTTTCAGTACACCCCACAAGAAAGTGTCCAGTGGTGTTAGGTCTGATGTACGTGATGGCCACGTACATCAGACCTAATTGCTCTATGTCGTCCTATCCAAATCAGCTCGAAAAAAGGACATTGCTTTTAAAGCCTCTCTCTCTCTCTCTCTCCCTCTCTCTCTCTCTCTCTCTCTCTATCTATCTATATATCTATCGATATATATATATATATATATACAACAAGATCCAAAATTACCTCATATGGCGGTGGATAGATGTATTTCAACCTTCAACCGACGAGAAGTTAAATTTCTAATTCTGTCACGAACATGGTCTATACACTAGGGTTGAATAAGACTGACGTACTTCTCGTCAGTTGAAATAGATCTATCCCCGCCCATTTGAGGTAATTTGGGATTTTATTGTGTAATTCATATGCTCTGTTATAATAAATACATTGAGCTCTTTTTGTGAATTAGTTTTAATATTTGATATTACTAGGATCCGCTTGGATTATATTCGAAAGGATTTATTACCTGTACCATATATATATATATATATATATATATATATATATATATATATATATATATATATATTTTTGTATGGTTTATTTTATCTAATGTGTTATGCATTAAGTTATGCCGTCAAGCTTTTTTCGCTACTGCTTCTTTTGCCAGAGATGACCTGAGTTTCACTCATTTTGGCTGACGTAGCCTAATAGAGTATAAAATCGTACGCACGTATATAAAATATATATCTTTTCATTTTTGGCTATCAATCGAAGACTTAATTCATCACAGATGTACAACGCAAGCAGTGAACTTAGACGTTAGTATAGACTCGTCAAGAAGAGACTGAAACGTATTTTAAATTAAAATGAAAAATTATCCAAGCCTAATAACTATTTAAGAATCTCGAACAGTATAAACAGTTATCTCCCCTTAAAAGTCATTTCACTGATGGGTGCTACAACTCTATTCCCACTCCGTTCTTTTTCTTTCTTTCTTTTTTTGCGCAGTTAAATGACAATGCTATTTATTTTTTTCTTTCTCTCTTTTTATTTTACTCACGGATTAGCACTCTTGTTCGATCGATGCTATCTTCGCAGACTGACCTTCGTCGCGCGCCTCTGTTGTTAACACCGACCTGATAATCTTCCCGCCAAAAAAAAAAAAACATTCCTTACTTCTGCTCTAAGCTGCGGCCCAAACACAAGCGGTCAGGCATCATTCACAATACCCACTCAATCCCGCGTTTTACTCTCTTCACTTGTCCTCTGATCAATGGACAGCGACTGTGAGGATAAAAAAAAAAAACATGGCGTTCGAAAGACACGCTGAACTTGACAACTGCGAAGCTGTTTCCTCCGCGTTGGGCACATTTCCCAAACACGTGGCACGTGCCTTCTAGATCCAACTGAGGATAATCGTAGACACCTGGTTGGTGGCCGTCTGTTAAAAGTCACAGATTTAGAGGCATATTTCTACGTTTACTTGTCAAGTTTCCCTCTTCTGTAATACACACCACGCCAACGTTCAATTGGACAGTTTTGCAGAATTGGTAAAGTAATATGTCAGATAACTCTACAAGTACCATTAGTACAATATAACCCCGTACATCCTGCCGCACGATCATGTAATCGGTGACTAAACCGATTCCTCCAACCGTTCTTTTTTATTTTGCTTTTTTTTTCTGGTGAAGAGAGTGGCTAGACACCCAGTAGAATTAAAAACAAGACCTGTCAAAATGTGGATGAACTCTTTTGTAAGATCAACAGCCATCTAATAAAATGGGGTACATCAACGTAGCTATGTTCATAGCCAGTAGAGTGATGATACGGCACCGCTGGCGAAGGGTTCAAGGCAAAAAGTACCCCTGATAGCATTAACGGTCATCAAAATATCAACTATTTCTGATTCTAAACATAAATGTGATTTTTGTTTTCATTTTTCTTAAAACTTCAAAGCCCCTGGTATTCTCAGCATCCTCCTGTAGAACCACATCTCTGTTACTTTAAGTCTCCTCTTCATATAAGAGGAAATTCTCCTGCATTTACTGACAAACTCACATATCAGGTTGATGACAAAGTGTATTGCATTATTGTGGGCACTTTTCTCTCCATATAATTTCATAGACTTCTTCGTATCAACAAAATATTCTACCTGACTTTCTAGGATCTTAGGCCACTTTTCAGCTGACAACAATTCCAGTTATGATTTAATAAATTCTTTTTGGAATTTTTTCAAAATCTTGAGCCTCTTTAGGACCACTGTAAAATGTGTGTTGCATGGAATAAAAAAGTAACAACCTGAGGTAACAAGTATTAAGAATACAATCTCATATAGAAGAAACTCTATTTAAAAATTCTCACGTAAATATTTTCTAGTAATAGAAATTTATTAACAGCTTCGCATACGCCGATATTTTTATTAAATGTATAAACTAATTTTATGCATCCTTCAAACGAGTCAGTTGCTCACTGCAGTATCAGTTTGTTCAGAATTCTGTTTGAGTTCCATAAATGAAAATAAAATTTTCCCATTGAATTTCATTTAGGTTAAGAAGCTGAAGGCTGTTAAAGGGAACTAATAGCAGATCATTTCTGACTCTGTATCCCTCTTTGGTTGCAATTAGTCTCGGAGAAGAAATTTAAATCTTGTCTAAAGGGAGATGGGTTCCGTCAGACTAACTTGTTCTGGACACAATCACTTCTGATACGGCCGCATGTGGTACCTTAACGAACCTCATAGGTTTTGACTCTCGTGTTTTTTGTGTGATTAAGAGAGAGAGAGAGAGAGAAGGGGAGAAGATACCATGAAACTATTATTAGTATTAATAATAATAAAAATAATAATAATAATGTTATGGCTAATTGTTATAAAGTGTGATTTTATATTTTATGCAAGACATAATAGAAGTTTGCCATAAAACATGATGTATCACGTGATATTTGAAGAGCACGAGGAAATATGCCTGTGGTTAATTTACCATAGTCTTTTCTTCTAGCTTTCTTTCACTATCTTCTGTACGAGTTCCTGTAGTTTCCTTTTTGTGCCTGCTATCAACACTGTGTCATCTGCATATCATATTTTGTTAAGATTATGCCGGTCAATAATGAATCCTAGTAGGGCTCCTAATTCTCAATTCTAATTCATAATCGCCTCACTCGTATAGGTTAAATAAATCCGTTGAGAAGACACATCCTTGTTTTACACCCCTTTCTAACTGAACCCTTTCGAATCGAACTCTTTATTTGATCTATATTACATTGTTCTCGTTCAGTTGCTGATATCTATGAATATCACGTTTTATTTCTTTTAGTACCACCCAGTTATTGTTCGTCCTGTTTCAATTGAGTAAGCTTCTACTAACCGACACGGAATGAATTCCCAATTACTGTGCTACAAAATTCATGAATCGACACATTAATGGTTTTGGTTGTTGTCAAGGCGAACATTAACTGAGCTATTCTAAAAAGAAGAGAACATCCTTACATATGGAAAGCTGAACGAGCGTAGATAAATTGGTTCAGTTCGAAATACTCTGAAAGGTACCTGGATTGACAGAAAACTAAAGAAGGCCGAAGAGTACAATTACCAAAATGTTGCGATAATAATAACAAAGATAGTGATATTAATTTGAATGTAAATAATGAAATAATGATAGCTTTTCATATGAGAAACTGAGTCAGAAATTTTTACTGGATCCAGTGGAAAATATTATTTCAGTGAACACCAGTGGAAAGTACTATTTCAGAAGGCAACAGCAGAAAGTTCTATTTCATTTGACACCAGAGGAAATTACTATTTCAGTGGGCACCAGTGAAAAGTACTATTTCAGTGGGCACCAGTGAAAAGTGCTATTTCAATGGGCACCGATAGAAAGTACTATTTCAGTAGCAATCAATGGAAAGTACTATTTCCGCAAGTACCAATGGGAAGTACTATTTCAGTGGGCCATTTTTACATAAGCTTCGACTAGTTTAGACTGTTTGGTACATTGAAAACAGTGTTTTATAAAATCATTTATTTTCTTCTGATCAAATGAAGACAATTTTGTGCTCGATAATTATATTGCTCCCGTTGGAAAAATTTGCCACTTCACAACTTTCATACCTCCTCTCTTGATTGGGTTGTGCCGTCAAGTGCATTTTGCGAAATTACTCCTCAATTCAACCTATCACAAGTGCATTCAAATGGTTACAGAAACGCGAGATGTGTACTAATTAAACGAGGCTAAACTTGCAGAGAAATACACAAAAGGGTTCCACTCGAGAAGTCAAAACACGAAAATGAACTCAATTTTGAGTGTCACCAAACACAGACTTCTGTGATCTTGTGCAATACAACATCATTAGTTTGTTTATCTAAGAGGTCCTCGTTGTGATCTGTTGACAATATTATAGTTTTTTTTCATGGGACGAAACAAGTGCAAATGACGGACCACTTGATTAGCCTTTCGAGAGCTCGTCAATTAGAACATTAAATGACCTAGCCAAAGTGCTTCTAATGAGTGGACAGTGACCGGTGTTGCACGTTGAGAGGATTCCCTTGATCAAGTGCAGAGAATAACGTGGCCTTAAGCTGAACGAATAGATAGCAAAAATAGAGGATGAGTTTTTCGATCGATTATCTATGCGCTACTAAGTTGTAAATGCAATGATTATGTTAATTTAATTAAGAGAAACAGTTGCTAAGGTGCCAGATATGACCTTTACTCTTTAAAAATTGAATAGAAATGGCAGGTTGGAATAGAAGGGTAGGTTGGAAAATCCATTCACAAATTGCAATAAACTAAGAGTCCCCAAACTTTTTAGACCATCGACCACCTTAATGGAATCCTTAATCTCTCATCGACCCCCCCCCCCTCCAGTCATGCAGAAAAATATCAATAATAATTATTTCTTATTTAAAGATAGAAATTTATTTTCCCCATTTCCTTTATTGTTATTTCTTGATAAGATGTGGATGTGTCTCTGGCGTAATGGATATTGGGTCGCAATGAGAGAGCAGAGTTCGAATTTACGCGCAAATATCCTTGGAATGATTACATCATCATCATTTTCATCATCATCATCATTATAATCCCATGACTGAGTGGGATCGAAGGTTCGTTGCTCATCCCTCTCAATGTTGATACCTGAATAGCAAATCATATAATTATTATTATATGCTTTGCTATTCTGACTAACATGTTCATTTGGTTGTTACACTCACAACGTTTCGACCGTTGTACCCTCTGTTCTCCTTCAGGCGTCTATCGTCGTACTCGGCAACCTGGTAAAAATTTTGAACCGAACTCTTTATTCCACCCAAGAGAGTAGATTATCCTCATTCCATTTTCTATGCTAAGAAATATGTTATATATTTCAGTTAATAAATACGAGTGCTCTTCGCTTTTATGTCGATTGTCCGTTTCTCCCACTGAACCATAGATTGCGACTTTATACTTTCCTAATAAGTGTGAGTTCAATCGCTGTCTCCGCTAGTGTTAAAAAGTTACATACTCTCGTTTCACGAAAAAAAAACGGAAAAGTGAAACAAACTGGAGCGTATGAACTGATATGATTGATTGATTCGTTTTCTACGGGTTATCAACCTTTTGCAGGTTATTTAAAGCCAGAAAATATTTTAGATTTATTTTTAGCTAATAATAATTTAATGATGCAAGTCTTACTAACTAACCCATAGCTGGTGGAGTCATACATTTCCCAAGGGTATTTGCGCGTAAGTGAATATAACGAACCCAATTGGAATTGAAACTCTGCTCTCGGTTTAGCAGTTCCGAACCATTATCCATTACACTACCAGCAGATCCAAGCTAACAGCATCTGATATCCCCAAGCGGTCACCCATCTAAGTACTGACCACACTCACAGTTGCTTAACTTCGGTGGTTGTACGGGAATCGGTATTTCAACGTAATGTAGCCGTAAGCCTAAGTGATTATGAGTTATCTCTCTTGAGAATAGAAAATTGAATGAGTAGACAGATTAAAGAGTTCAGCTCAAAATTCCAAGAAGGTTATCGAGTAAAACGATGATAACCTGAAGATGGTAGGAGTGTAAAACAGTCAAAACTTGACTATAACAATCAAAATCAGTATGTAAGTCCAAATAGTAAGGTATATAATGAGTTTTGGGGGGGTTGTTCACATGTCTGTAAAACGAAATGTTCTCTACAGTCTAATCTGAGGATTGACGATTCTGAAAACTCAAAATAATTCGGTTGAAAATGTTTACGGCTTAAAAAATATTATTTCTTTATAAATAAAAGAAAATCTCTATCTGCGGTCTCCGCAACATTCCCAGTGTGCACTGCATCCCTAATACCACGGTCCTCGCTGGACAGATCACGCATCGAAACTGAATGACTGTCCAAATGTTTTACTATTCGGTGAAATGTCCATAACTCACAGAATCCGAAGATCTCAAAGGAAGGGACAGCAGATTTCCTTAAAGATGACCTTCCTCTGGCATCGGCTACCACAAACTACTAAAAGGAAAATGTGGTAAAGGAATCATTCTGACTATCTTCCTTTTCTAACAAAGAAAGATTGCAGATTCATTGATGAGAAGAGAACCTTTAATTTCAAATTACAGCAGAAATTCAGTTTCAACCTAAATTTTCAACCTTCGCCTGTTATTGCTGTAGTAGGACAAACTTGTCACGTATTGTCCTCATCAGCCATCAAAAGACCGGCGCTAGAAGTAGAATGACTTCTTAGTCCTTCGTTTGAAAAAACAAAGCCACCAACTACCTAATATTTTCAAGTGGAAATGCGAAATCTCATGCACACATCTACACTTCTTCTGTGTACAGTGTCCTTTCAGGGCGTTGGTGATCATCGCTCTCCAAAATTTCTTGGCCTTTGAAGATCTTAATAAATTTTGACATTTTAGTATCTTTGCCAAACCCTGCTCCACCATCCATTTAATTAAGCTCGCCAGGTAGGTTATCCGTTGCTTTCCTCTGACCCTCTTGCCTTCAAACTGCCCTGCGAGTATCGAATTTTCCAATCTCTCTTTCTTCACTATGTCTCCTAGAAATTTCAGATGTCTATTCTTAAATTGATTTTTGTTTCTATTGTCTCTAGAACTTCGTCGTTGTTCACATGTTCGGTCCATGGTATTCTCAGCATTCTTCTGTAAAAGCGCGTTTCTGTTGCTTCAAGACACTTCTTAATCTTGTCCACCGTAGCTCTTAATAAATTCTGTCTTTTTCTTATCTCTCCTACACCTTGCCCCGCCATTCATTAGGTAGGTCATGTTTTTTTCCTCTGTTCTTCAATTTGTCCCGTGGGCATCAAATTTTCCAAGCTCTCTTTCCTCATTACGTGCCCTAAACATTTCAGCTCTATCTTCCTGATGTTAAGTATAATTTTTTTTTCTTTTCTTCGTAAATTTTATACATTAAAAATTAATCATCAAAAATATTTGGTTTTAATTTTGTTGGATTCAACTATTGTGTCATTAAAAGAGTATAAGACCTTTACCCCTGTTGATTTAATATCAATTCGGTGTAAGTCTCGTGAATTCTAGGCAACTCTCATAGGTTACTCTCGATAACTGACGCTCCAGAAAAATCTGGAAGCTATCTAAACAATATAAAGATTTATTCATACCCCATATACTGTCAGCTGATCTTCAGTGACGAACATTAACGACTTATGTCTTTAAATAATAATAATACTAATGTTCACGTGTACATGTTTTGCTTGGGGAATTAAAATGGGCTACAGTAAATATACCGTTCAGTACTACAGATTTGCTTGTGAGTTGCCTGACCATAACCAGTTGGGCATGTCCTAGAAGGAGGCAGCCAAGACAACTTTTGAGTCACATCTAGATACTTAGTAATAACCTCAATCGGTGATAGAGCGACACTGGGTTGCCCGTCCTGAAGGTATTTCTAACTGGGACCCACTTACAAGGTTATCTGTCAGTTATGTGCAATGCGTGATACATGCTTAGGTGATCATGTATCGAAAGATACATGACTGACGAGGCGTACTTTTTTTCCAGCAGTAGGTTGCCATTTCTTTCTGTAGTAGCCCAATTGCCATCCAAGACTATAGATCCCTGTATGCCCTGCTATTTATCCTTAGCTATGGGGGGTGGAGAGGAAGAGGATTCATACCTTTCCCAAGAGTATTAGCACGTAAGTGAATGTAATAGATTCGACGGTTATACGATGGTTTAATCAAATCCTCTCGCCAAATCACTCACATTTGATGCTGCATGAGACTGATATACCCTTATCAAACTGGATGCCATGAGGGATATCTTGATCTTCCTATATTTGTATCCCAGCATCACTTTATTGGCGTACTGCCCGCTCACGCAATAATAATAATCATGTTATTTGAGTAAATAAGATTATAGTATTGTGGATGTTGGCCTCTGAGGAAACATTAGCCTACTAGATCTCATCTTGTATTGTATTTCATGTATTTGTACCTCTAGTATCACTTAATTAATGTGATGATATCCCACTCAATAAAAATAATAATATAAGTGGTGACATGATTGGACTGATAAGAGAATCCATTGGGAAGTATGTCGTAAATTTGACTTCAGCGTAAAAGAGAAGTGGTAAAAATATCAGCCAGACGCAGTGGGTGAACATGACAGTCATAAGGTATTATGGGATTTCTCAGTCCAGACATATCATGTCATTAAGGCACGAAGGCCTGACTATATTGTTATAGATAAGGGGAATATTAAGTATCAAATTATAGATTTTTCAACATTCACTGCCATAGGGAACTGGAAAAGCTATGGAATGGTACTGTTGAAGTAATTCATTTACTAACGGATGCGATTAGAACACCCAAAGAACATTGAAGGAAAGCTTAAGGAAAATTGGAATTGAGATCAAGATTACAGACCCTCAGAAAACTGCTATCATTTACTCTTCGAAGATTCTCTGAAAATTTCTTGAGCCGTGAGAAGTCTTATTGACACCATGCCTCAAGAATAGAATGTTCATTGATTACGTAATAATAATAATAATAATAATAATAATAATAATAATAATTTGATCTTAAGTTTTTTGGGTTTTTTTTTCCTATTTAATGTTTTTTTTTTTTATTTTTAGTGGAAAATGTCATGGAACCATTTCTAACCTTAGTTCTCTGGTTGAGACCCGGAAGAAAATATGTATGCAACAGAAATCAAAGGAAATAATAATAATAATAATAATAATAATAATAATAATAATAATAATAAAAACTGTCAAATTATAAGGACCTACAAATCGAAGTAACAAATATGTGGAAACTTAAAATTACGATTATCCCTGTTGTGATAGAGGTATAGGCTATGATAAAGAATGGTACCGAAAATCATGTGAGTAAAATTCTTGGACACATTAGCAGCTCAGTGCTACAAAAATGGAATATATCAACCGCAAAACCCTTTCTATCTAAATGAAACTGCACAGATGTGCATAATTCCACCATTGACCTTTTTACTGATAGGTCCTTGAACTTGGTAATTTGTAATGTTAATATTCTCTGGCAATATGATAACACACACGCACAACAACAAAAATAATAGGTATGTATAGCTGGGCACTCGTATTCGAGCATACTAGGGTGGCTATTCAGTCCCTATTGGCGACTTGCTCAGGCGCATTTGTGTTTGTTCAACACTCACAGAGCCCAGCTGTGGTTTATACTGCAACTATGCTGAGCAGACCTTAGTTACATTTTCTGGGAAAAAAAAGCATGTTATCTAGCATGATCAACTATTTGAACAGGGCCAGCACGCCCAATCCCTCGTCCACGATGACTTATGACTTCCTGCTAGCACAAATATCGACGGTACCCAATAGTTTCGTTTACCCAATTTCACACACTGGTATGGTTTTCAGACACTTTCCAAAGGTGCTGCACGCTGGGTTCGACACTTCCAGTCCGATAACATCAGAATGTCTCCTTCTTAACAAATCGACCATGGTGAGATTTGAACCCTGGTCTTACGATCAGAATGCTAACGTTCTAACCACTCGGCCACGTGCCCATTAATAGTAGGTATATGCATATGGAAATGAGTGATTTCGGACATATATAACTAGTTTAAGAATTTCTTTGTGGTTATCAGCAAAAGAAGGATAGAAACGATGCTAATAAAGCTAAAATTTGTAGTGCTAGGTTTTATCGACAGAAGCCAACAGTGAACTCACAGTTCTAGTGCATTTCTTCATGCTTAAAACTCAGTAATGTCATTTTATGATCAATATTTGAATTAATGGTTAAGATGTCATATGAGTCAAAATGCTGATGCCTGACTCTGCAACCAGAATCTCCACCTCGATAATCATATTACACCCTGAAGACACCTCAAGGGGCAAACAGCTCTGATCTTAAAAGCAGTTGTTTGCCCGATTGTTTAACGAGAAAAAAAAAAGAAATTATCGTCAGCCTCTTTGATGAATTCACTCTTGAAAATACAGCGCTCTCTTTTTCCCTGCATCGTTTTTCATCTCCTTCGCTACCTCCTTGTTCCACTTTTTCAAGTTAACAATTAATTAATTCATTGTGAAGTATCAATAATAAGGAGGCAGCCGAGAAGACCAGAACGAGGCTGAGTGATTGTTCTGAAGACGTTGCACCTATCAGATATCATTGGACTTCTTTTAAAGGAGGGGAAAGAAAGAAAGAAAACTTATACTGATCCATTTTTTAAAAGAAATCGTTTTCGTTTCGTATTATTATTATTATTATTATTATTATTAATTACATGAGCGCAAGGATAGTGTCCATATTCATTGTCATTCTTCGAACGGACCCAGATTCCTGACTAAAGGGATTTGATAATTCCCAGGGAACATTCAGACATTACTGACCGCAACATGATCAATATATAAAAAGTATGGAATATTTGAGACTTGCACTGTATTAGGATCCACTGAATATAAGACTCGGCAT